CTAAGATACTGCGCAGAACCCTCAAGCTCCCAGGCCTCTGGTAGAGGACCCGAGCTTGAAGGATAAACCGCCCGCAGGGGCGTGCTGGGTGTGTGTGTATATATATATATATTACGTTTATTTTTGTTTTGTAAAAAAAGTTTTGGGAAATTTTCTGTTCTTAAAATAGTTATTAAAAATAAATAAAAAATAGCTCTTGTAAGGTTACTGAATAAGGAGGATTAATTGATTAATTGGTTTTAAACCCATCCGCCACACCAACCCGGACTCCGGGAGGCTGTACAATCGGTTGATTTATAATAAAATGTTTAGTGGGAAAAATCCATTAACTGTTGGTTTATTCTCTTTTTTTTAAAAAGCTATTAATACCCATTTTTAAGTGTTAACCATTCTTCCTTACTGAAAAAAAATAAATCAAAATCACCTTGTTATAAGCTTAAATAAGCCGGGTTATTGGATTAATTTATACAGAGTTTTGCCACAAAAATAATTCGCCGTCTAAGATTGTTAATGCAAACAGAAACTATAAGATTCTCCAGCACTTTAGTCAGTTAAAATCCACAGACACTGCGGAACAACAAACATTAATTACTTGTTTAAATAATGATATAATTATCCCCGCTAAAAATAAAGAATGATTCGCCTTTTCTATTGTTGTTATTATTATTATTATTATTATTATTATTATTATTATTATTTCATCATCATCTCCTTCATAAGCATGATATTTAATTAGTCATTTCCACTAAAATAAAGATAGTTTGGAAAAAGGCCTCGGGTTTAAAATGTGTGTCATATAAAAAATTTAAATATGATCATATATTTCGCCCTTCTCTTGCCGATCTTTTGGTGTCTTAATGAAATCTTGCGGAGACCTTGAAACGGGAACACAAGGAGAGGTTCCTGTACCTGAGGAGTAAGGTGTGGGCTGGTGCTCTCGCAGGGCTCCCAGTGTGCAGCTGGTCGTGCTGAGGGGAGTGCAGCCAGGATTGGAGAAAGGGCCGCTCCGGATCGGGTTGTACTGGAAGGAGCTGGCCTGACTGCAGGAGCTGAAGTCCGCGTAGGCCGACGCTTCCATGGCTGCCATGCAGGAGTCATAGGAGTTCAGGTATGAGTAATCCATCTTATACATGGAGGTCAGCCGGCGCAGACACCGGTCTGTGAAGAAGTGCGCTGGAAACTCGGGTCAGGGCGGCTTCAGTCGGGTCTGCGGCTGCTGTTAGTTTCTGGGATTGCTGTGAGTCGTTTAAACCAGTCAGAGTTGGACTTTTTTCTCCAGAATCTCCTGGCGCGGTTGGTTTGTTTCTCCAGGCTTTTGTGGGCTTTAAGGTTTGTATGTCACCGTCACGCGGCTGGTAAGTAATCCAGATGTTTTCTCTGCAGCTCCGCTCTCTCTCCCTACTCTCCCCTCTCTCTGTCCGTCTCTTCGGCTCCCCTCCCTGGACTGAGGTTCGCTCTGCGCTCGCGCTCCGTTTGACAGCGCGCAGCGGCTCGCGCGCTGTTTATAATAAACTTGGCAGAGCGCGAGACAATAGCGAAGGCGGTGGTCTTGTTTCCATGACAATGCCACCAGTGAGCGAGCACGGACACGGACAGCCCCCCTCCCCTCTGCTCCCCTCCCACCGCTCTCTGCACCGCCCACGCGGCCCACAGCATCGCGAGCTAGCAGGTGTCAGCGGAGTTAAATCGCGCGCGTCTAAAAAGAATTACAGCGCGTGCATCCTTAATCGGACGTTTGTGATTCCGGTGAGTTCAGAGTTTTTCTTTCAGCCGTAATGTGACCAAAACCGAACGTCTCTGTTTCAGAGTTTTACTGACGTGACACTACAATCAGTGTTTACGTCATAGTAATGGCCTACCTGTCGCCTGGGCGAACACAGGTGTTACTAATGAAATTAATGTAGGTGCTTAGCTTAATTCATTCCAGCTGTTTGAATGAAAAATCCAGCTGGTGAATAAAGTTTACAGGTGGAAATTATTTGAACAACTAAATGAATACATTTTTATTCATTTTTTTACTCCTAGCTATACTTTGAAGCCACTCGCTCTGAAAAAACTTGGACCTTACAGAATATGCATGATCGCTTTGGAAACCTTGTCTGTGATTTTTATTTATTTATTTATTTAGGATGGGTCTTCTAGGAACTAAAGTAAAGCACGAATGTAGCCAAACAACACATCAGGCCTACAAGCTTGGAAACATTTTATTTTTAAAACATGAATACAAAGAAGCTAATTTTATAAAGAAAATGTGCGCCGTGCTTGAGAAACACACCCTCGGGATAGACATCCTCGCTGTTCTGGGAGGTTCTAGTGAAGCGTTTTTTGCGATATTAAGACATATGTGACGACTTTAAGCCATAACGGTCTGCTTAATATCGTCACAGGCGACTGAAATATGCACAAACAGATTCACCCCCCAAATAATAATAATAATACTAATACTAATAATAATAATAATGCTCCATAACCGGTCAATAGTGTCCCTGCGAGCTCCTGGAACCATCCGCGGCTCAGCCACAGAAGTCTTTATGTGAGGGGAAACGTCCAGATGTGACGGTGATTGGTGAGATTAAAAGCTTTGATTTGATTCCGATCACTTTTACGGAGATGTCACCAGAGTGAGCGTCAGTTTGATGTATAGGACTAGAGAGGGAGCTGGCTGCGGAGACAACCGAGCAACCACGACAGGCTAACCATAAACGCATTGAAGCTTCATAAATTGGTTTAAGTTTATTGTTCGGTGTCATACAATGTGATAAGTCATATCCCACACGGCCCCCATTACACAGACACACGCGCGCACAAACGGGGAGGCTTTGAAACCGGCAGGCAGGCAGACGCGCGCGCGCTCCACGTAGCTGCCAAATGTGCATGGTGCCATTTTAAAAAAAAGAGGGGGTTTTCGTGAAATTAACACGTATTTCATTAGTTCTAGCAAATAATAAAATCCACAAACCAAAATTAGGTTTTGCGTGTACGCGAGGAATTAATTAAGTTTGGCCTGCGTGCACGCATAAAAATGTCTCAACGTGCGCGCCCTGCCTTCCTTTGACCACAGGCTGCACACGCTGCAGCTGCTCCTGATGATGATGCTGTTGATGCTCCTTAATGACATTAACCCGCTGCACACGCGCGCATGCGCGCATTCGCCTCTCCGCGTTCGCTTAAACTACAAATAAGCGACAATAATCAGATTTGTTTACGGTGTTTATCGTGTGATGGAGTTCGAGGCGGGGCGGCGCGCGGGGCTAGTTGTGTTCAGATGCTAGATGCTGCCTGAACATCACAGATGAGGCCCGCACGAGACAAACAAGTCTGAGGCCGCTGATTTGTCATTACAGGGACCCAAATCTTTTTTCTTTTTTTGTTTAATACGATTTTATTTTATTTACGCTTTTTTTCTAGGAATTGTTAAACTCAAAGACTTATCAAAACCACCGATTTAATGCACATTTGAAAATATTTGGGGCATCGCCGTCACAAAGTATCGTTACGCATTCGTTACAGCTCAGTGCAGCTGGTACACGAAGGTCTTTTTGACTTCAGGAGAAAGACTTTACACATGATATTAATAAAGAAAAAAAGTTAATTATGGACCACTTCATTTATTGCTTCGTGTGTGCGTCACAACACTTTATACGATTTTCAAATCCTTAAACAAAATCACAGCGAACCTCCTTAACGCGTGAACTAACAGGGATAACCTGCATCAACCCTTATAACATTTAAGGCACTTAAATAAATACAGCCCTACATTGTGTGAGTTTTTCTTTCCTCTGTTGGATTTCCACATTAACCGGTCAGCTCCCAGGCCTTCCATTTGTTGTATGTCTGCTTTTCTCCTTGCTGGGTTCAGAGGTGAGTTTACCGAGAAACTTAAACAGTTTCAAAGTTAAACTCTCCAGGGTCGTTTCTGCCTTCCAAAAAAAAAAAAAAAAAAGCGCAGCCAGGAACGACCCTAGCTCTCCCGCTTTTAAACCATTTAAACTTTAATCCCTTCAAAGAAGGGACCGGTCTCTTCCAGGCCGCTAATCCGCCCTATAGTGCTCCGGCGCAGGGGGAGACTTCTCTGCTGCGAAGGCTTTAACTTTGGACTTTTACATTCATAGGGCGATTTTTAGGAAACAGTTACGGGGAGCTTTGGCATTCATGGCGTCTGAGTCAACAGAGGGGGCACACAATGGTCCCCTAGAGGCTCCTGAGAGCCCCTGAGAGAGGAACCCCGACTATAAGGATTATAGGCCCGTGGGTTATTAGGGAAAAGCGAATGAAGGCCCGTAGCGTGCTGTCTGTTTGTGAGCAGAGTATGACTGACTCCTTTCAGCGACTGATTGGTAACATTATCTGGTAATAAACATTCAAATTACCGATGATAAAACTGTAAATGACAGCTCTGCAAAATAAAATAGAATTAAATAGAATTGAATTTATTGCTGAAGCTGAAGCTATCATTTTTAATGCGCTAACCTC